TCACTAGACATTTTTTACAAAATGACTTAATTTTAACATTGCTTGCTCATTGCATTTCAGAAATGCAGCTGCCTAAAAAAGACACGTCGATTCCTAGGAACGTTTTTTTTTTCTCAGTAAACAGACAATTTCTCTGCGAGAAATCTCAGAGTGGAATTGCCGGATTTTTTTTCACTCTGGATTAATTTTTTAAAGATTCAAATTGATACTTGATTCATTCACATCGTTCTATTTCATCGGGAGATATTGTCGATTGGAGACAATTTTTTATGGTCACTGAAGGAGGCAAACCATTGATCTAAATCTCGCAATAATCTGCGAAAAATCTTATTCATTAATCTATTATTGAATTAATCCCATTTTGTGTAGATCGCTGGAGAACAACGAAAACGTTCCAACCGTTCAAACGAGTTGGAATGTTTTCTTTCTCCTTCTTCTCCATTTTCTTTCTCACTCGCACTCCTTAATTTTGGCGGTGGACGGGCACGGCACAGCGTGACGGAGACGACAATGAGTGGGAGCGAGCGCGATACATATTCCTTTCTCACTCAGGGGGGGAATAAATATATATAATCGAACATTACTATAGTAAAAAAAAAAACAAAATCTGCACAATTATTCAATAGAATCACAGGAAAACTATAGAGTTTTCCAGCGACAGCGCTGGGATTTTCTATGAATTTTGTGACCTACGTGTCAATGATAAATATGTCGAGAAAAAGGAAAAGACTTTTAGATCATTAGATTCTGCATTCATTATACTATTGATTATAATATGTTCGATTTTACATTCCTGACAATTATTACAAAATGCGAGGAGCTACCGTATTGAGAACCACTTTCCGGTTATCGACAAATTTATGCTCGGGCCCTATCATACCAATAATTCCGTACGCTCCATCGTAGTCCATGCGCCACCGCTACGATTTTCCTTGTTGAACACTTTACATTGGCCCTGCTCATCTCCCCTATAATCTCTGGTAGCCAGGGCGTAGTCACTTCAAGTACCCCCTCCACCTGCTAATTGTCGCGATACGATCTGGTAATAACTAGTTTTTTGTTTTTTTTGTGGTCACCATGAGGGGCATGTGAACACCTTTACGGCCGTCTAGACGCTGGTGGACGCCATATTGTTTGGAAACTCTATTTTGTGACGTTTATTTTGTATGGGGAAAATAAAAATAAACAACAATTGAGAATAAGAAAGATAAAAACAATGCAGCAGTGTGAGAAATAAATTGAGGTAATTGCTGATAGAAATTATGCATTTGATAATTATCAAGCTTTGTAGAAAAATTAATTCGTTTATGAGACAATTAGAGGTTACATGTGATCTGGCAGATGTATTCTTTCATTTTCGTCCTTGATCACGACCTTATTTGTGTAGATAATGCCGAAAAATTCAAAATGCGTGGTGCCTCATTGCGGGCATGTACAACAGAAGAATAAAGAATGTATTTACGCGAAATTTCCCCGAGAAGTTGAAAGGTAATGATTGATTGATATCGGTGGTGATAATTGAATATGGTATAACTGATCCAAATTTGTTTGTTCAGATGCAAGAAATGGGTACAGGCTGTAGGCGTAGAGGACCTCACAAGCTTGTCAATAGAGAAGCACAATGGGATACGCTACGTCTGTGGATGCCACTTTACTCCCGATCAATTTTGTCATCCCTTCAGGAAAAAACTGAAGATGACAGCTGTCCCATCACTGTTCGATCCTCGAGTCATTCCTCTGGCCGATGAATTGTTGGAGAATTTTCCAATCCTGAATGTTCTGAAGATTCCGATTGAAGGTATGTATCGTTGAATTCCCGAATAACTTATAATAGTCGAAAAAACCTGATAACTAAGAAAACACATAGGCTAAAAAAGTTGGGTGCGAATTTTCAATATTGTGGAGAGTAATTAATCATTTATATGATTTCACTGATTACATTTTTATTTCACAACTAAAAGAATCCTGTTGACTCCCGATTCCCCGACTTTGCCGCCTAATTTGAAAAACATCTGTAGGACCAACACTAACACAAATGATTTAATAAAGCGATTAGGTGAGTAAACAATTCATTAAAGTAACTCATCCGTCACCTACAGTTTCCTACTTATCATACTATATATTTAAAGAATTCTAATTATTGAATTTTATAATTAAATCGCCTGAGAATTTTTTTAAAAATTTAAACAGTGGAATTTATCATTTTTAAACATTTTTTTTTCTCAAACAAAGAATAGTTAGTTGATGGAGAAAAAAATATGGATTATGAAACTAATCAAGTATTCAATTATCTCTGAAAAACATAGGATAAATGTTCAAATAGAGCTAATTTAATAGAAAATTTTATGAATATTGGCTGGTAATGGCATCTACCTTGTGTACTGTTTAGTAAATATGGAAATTTAACTTCTGTCATTTTTTTTATAGACCACAAATCACAAGCTTGTGAAGTAGAGGCTTCTGCATCACACTCCACACCAGCTCCTGAAGAACCTCTGGATTTGGAAGCAACTGAAGATACCCGAATAGACTTTCTGTCAAAAGATTATTCAGGAAGTATTGGACATGCAACACCTCACGGGCGAGGGATCAAGCGTTACAGACGTTCTGGTAATGAACATTATTCATCAATTATTTCTCTTGTGCTTGATTTTTCATTGTACTGTCATGCAGGAGCTCCTACTACGGGCCTCGAGTATTTCTTAAATTATTTTTCTTGATTTTATGCACACATCCTGACCTATTATTGTATATCAGGGTTAAAATCATAAAAGAAGGGAGGAATTTTTTTTTTTCACCAGTCAGTCCATTTTTCAACTACAATTTGCTAATGTCAGTGAAGAAAAAAAAATTATCCCCCTGAAATCCTAATTCATTTCAGATATTCATAATCTCGAAATTGTTCATGTAAAGAAGAAAACCATTGGAACTGTAAATATCACAATAGGTATCCCTGAAGCACTGAGCCAAGAATGTCTGACGTTCCTCACAATTTTCATTCGGAAGATTGAGATTTTGACACCATGTAGAGTCAGAATTCTCATTGAAAAAATGAAGGAGCTAATGAACGAATCATGAATGATGTTTTGATCATTCTCTACAACCTCATTCTAAGTGAACCATGGAATTCATGATCACACTAATGAATTTATAAAATTGTGAACAAATTAATCATTGAGATTGGTTACTAAAAATTCTAATAAAATTCATTATTAATTCAATTTTTGACGCGTTTCATTCATTCGCATTGAAGTAAATGATAAATTCGAGAAATTTTTTTTTTGGTAATTTTCAGCTGAATTTAGACGAATAACAATAAAAAGAAGATCCTTAGGAATAGATCTTTGTACTTATTCTAGAACACGAAGATGTATCTGTATATTTACTTCATGATATTAATATTGCTTTTCCATTGACAGAGTCCACAGTTCGGATGACGAAGAAAAAACGTCTTGAAACTGTGGGCTTCGCAAACAGAGATATAAGCCCATGTAAATCTACATTACTAGACATCATCAGTGACCAAGAGAAAAAATTGAGAAAGCAAATAATAGAACTTCAAACATGCAAGGATTCCATCAAGTGTCTCGTATCTTCCACGAAATACTCCGATTTATTAAATGACATTTCGTTACCCGCCCTACGTTTATTGATAATTAGCGATTTAAAGAATGGCCGGAGGAATATTTATGGTAGGAGATGGACTGACTATGAGAAAATCATGGCTCTATCGATTTATAAACGAGGGCCTCGGGCTTATGCCTTACTTCAGAAGCTCCTACCACTGCCCAGTGTCAAGACAGTATCGAGATTTCGACGGAAGATTCCCATGAATGTCGGGATACATTCAGAGATTCTCGCCAATGTAAAAATCTCAGCTGAGAAGATGACTTACGTTGATAAACACTGCCTTTTAAATTTCGATGAAATTGCATTGAAATTTTTCTATACATTTTTCACCTTACAGAATGGGTGAGAAAAGAACCATGGCGAATGAATGATGACGTGTTCCTCCAGTTCTCTTCTCTTCATACAGATCTGTTATAATGAGAAAATTAATTTATTACTCTTTCTTTTTTGCAGATGAATTCTTTGCAATATGGAACAGCGGATTCAGAATATCATCTCTAAAAATAGTGGCCTGTTTATTGGAATTGATGTTCCATTTGATGAGAGCAAATCAAGTAAGGAGTTAAAAATTTATCATATCAAGACGGTGATTTACTTTTTGGTTAATTTGTCATAACTATCCCACTGTTTTTCAGACTCTCTATTTTACAGTTGTGATGCTCTGTTGGAAACTTAGACACCCCCCCCCCC